ACGTGAACGTGTTTGAGTATCAGCAGAGGCAGGTTCTGCTGATCAAACCCGGAGGGAAGTGGTTCGACCTGGAATACACCGCCGAGGGTTCCGCCACCACGCAGGATCCACAACTGGTGTCCCAGTACAAGGCGCTCGCCCAGCAGCTGTATGAGGCTGAGGTGGCGCTCTACAAGAACAAGAAGAACCTGCAGAAAGGAGCCAACTCCACCTGGATGAAGAGCGTCGTCTCCACTGGCGTGCTGGCGGACAGGATGGCGGCCATGACGGTTCTGATCCAGGACGCTGTGGTTCACACTCTGGAGCACGTGGACGGCCTGGTGTCCATGGTGAAGAAGAAGGGCAGCCGGCGGATGGGTCTGATGGCTCTGGACACACTGCGAGAGCTGCTGCTGTCCGACCTGCTGCCGGAGCACAGGAAGCTCCGCACCTTCGCCCAGCACCCGTTCGACCAGCTGGAGGAGAAGGCCAGCGGCAACAGGGATGCTCGCGACCGCCGCCTCATCCTCTGGTACTTCGAGCACCAGCTGAAGCACCACGTGGCCGAGTTCGTGGTGGCTCTGGACACGGTGGCTCATGACACGGTGGCGGCCACCAAGTCGAAGGCGCTGGCCACCGCCCACGAGCTGCTGTGCAGCCGCCCGGAGCAGGAGAAGGCGCTGCTCATCCAGGTCGTCAACAAGCTGGGAGACCCCGAGTACAAGACGGCGGCAAAAGCATCGTACCTTCTGGAGACGCTGCTGCACAAACACCCCAACATGAAAGCGGTGGTGTGCTGCGAGGTGGAGCGGCTCATGTTCCGGCCCAACATCAGCTCGAAGGCGCAGTACTACGCCGTCTGCTTCCTCAGCCAGGTGATGCTGAGCCACGACGAGGCCGAGCTCGCCACCAAACTCATCACCATCTACTTCTCCTTCTTCCGCTCCTGCATCAAGAATAAGGACATCGAGTCGAAGATGCTGAGCGCCCTGCTGTCGGGCGTGAACAGGGCGTATCCGTACGCCAGCGCCGGAGACGAGAAGGTGAAGGAGCAGCTGGACACGCTGTTCAAAGTGGTTCATCTGGTGAAGTTCAACACGGCCGTGCAGGCGCTCATGCTGCTGTTCCAGGTGATGGACTCGCAGCAAACCGTCTCCGACCGCTTCTACGTCGCTCTGTACAGGTGAAGCTTCAACAGTCACAAGCTGTTAGTCATCGGTTGGTCTCTGTTTGAAACGCTCACTTCCTCTCTTCTTCTCTGCAGGAAGTTGTTGGACTCGGGGCTGTCGTCGTCCTCCAGACAGAGCATGTTCCTCAACCTGCTGTACAAGTCGCTGAAGGCCGACATCGTGCTGCGGCGGGTCAAAGCCTTCGTGAAGCGTCTGCTGCAGGTCAGCGCCGAGCAGAACGCCAGCTTCGCCTGCGGAGCGCTGTTCCTGGTGTCGGAGGTCATGAAGGCCAAACCGGCTCTGAAGATCCTGCTGCAGGAGGAAGGGGTGAGAAACTTCTCGCCAGAAATAAGCTTCCATAGAAAATATAAACTACGAGTTTTAAACCGTCTTAAATATGAATAAAAACAAATTGAACAGTTTAGAAGTCGAGGATGTTGAAGTTTGACTGTGTTCACTCAGGACGGAGAGGAGGAGGAGTTTAAAGACCTCGCTGAAGAAGATGATGATGATGAAGAGGAGCGCTTTGTGGACGCTGACAAACTGCAGGAAGGGACGAGTGCAGAGAAGGTGGAGCCCAAACCAACGGCATCGTGGGTACATCATCAGAACCTGGAAGGTCTGTGATCTGAGTCTTTATCGATTGTTCACTCACAGATATGAAACGTCAGCTGATGATATTTTATTCTTTCCTTCCAGGAGGGAAACACAAGCAGATCTACGACCCGCTGCACAGAAACCCGTTATTCTGCGGCGCCGACCACACGACTTTATGGGAGCTGCAGAGGGTGAGACGCACAAATCACAATAAACACAAAGGTGTCGACTCGTACATGAAGCTTTGGTCGTCCTGCTTTCACGACATATTTATACCTTAATAAAAACTAAATACTACATTTTGTATAAATAATTTCTGAACCCATTTCCAACAGTCTCCTGTGTTCTTGTCTCTGCAGCTCACTCTGCACTTCCATCCGTCTGTGTCACTGTTTGCAAAAACAGTCCTGGAGGTAAAATCTAACTTCTCATTAATGAATCAAACGACTTCTTTTTTTATCTTCCAGAGTCTCAGTTCTGCATCTGTAGAGTTTGTTTATTTCACATTTGGTCTCAGACGGAGTCAGATACTTTCATCCCTTTGTTGTTGTTGTCGTCCCAGTTTTAAGGATTATATTTTTTATCGGAGATATAATCCTGAAAACACTTAAACAGAAGTGTTTTCTTTCCACAGGGAGGATTCATCATGTACACCGGTGACCCTCTGCAGGATTTCACCCTCATCCGCTTCCTGGACCGATTCGTCTTCAGAAACCCCAAACAGCTGAAGGGAAAACGTAACGAACTCTTTAGTTATTACTGATGATTAAATATCTGATACAAATGAAATCAGAGGGAAATCCAGTGATTTCAAATCCTCCGACAATATTTCTGACACATCTCATGAATCCAGTCATCAAATAAATAAATGAAAATTGATCATTTCTACTTTAATGTTTGAATTCCTCAGAAAACACAGATGCTGCAGCGCTGATGCCCAGACAGAGGTTACCTCTCCACTCTCTTCCAGGTGAGTGGATATAAAATTCTCTTCTCCTCTTGTTTTAAAGAACTTTTAGTAAGTGAAGGTTTTCCGTCTGTCGTCAGTGAACTGTGAAGAGTTTCTGTGCAAAGAAGAAAGTCAGATCCCTGTGGACGAAGTCTTCTTCCATCGGTGAGTCAGAAAACTTCAACTTCTAAGATCAACTTTTAAAAAGAATAAATTCTCTTTTAAAGAAAAATGTTCTTTAGAAAGAATCAACACAATCTACTTCCTCGTTGAACCACAACAAAAACACAGGAAGGAGCTTCTAGTGGAGCGGAACCTACGATGACATGTTAACGACTTTCTGTCCTAATTTATTCATCATCTCCGCAGCTTCTTCAAGAAACGTCAGCAGGAGAAGCAGGTTCGTCGTCCTCGTCGGGACGGAGACAACGAGAGCGTGGACGACGTGGACGATGAGGAGTTTGAGAAATTACTCGGTGAGTCGGGGAGAGATGATCTTCTAGTTTACAGCTTCTGTTCACATATTCTGATTAAACTAGATTCAACTTTCTGACCTGATGTATGATGACTTTGCTTCTGAGCAGATTCCTGTGAGGGAGACTCGTACTTCACCGACCTGGCAGTTGATGATCTCGACTTCGCAGGGTGAGTTTGATCATCAGGTCTTTGTTATATTATTATAACTGTCTGGTCGTGTTGTTTTTAATACGGATGAATTAGCTGTTGTATCTCAACCTCACTAACTCACTCGTCTCCACTTTTCTCAGTAACGTGAAGAGTAAAAAAGGAAAGAAAGGAGCTGAGGTCTCTGACTCGGACGACTCGGACATGGACGACCTGGACGATGAGGAGGTGTCTCTGGGCAGTATGGACGAGGAAGACTTCGGAGACGAGCTGGAGGACGAAGGGGGGGCGTTCATGGATCCTGACGGAGACGACGACGATGAAGGTTGTGAACGTGCTGATAACTGAATGTTGTTTAATGGTTGTTTGCACATCTGAAGAGTGATTCCTATCATTTAGAATCTTCGTGTGTTCGCTGTTTATTGGTTCAGTGAATATTTAGAGGTTCACTTTGCTCCTGTGGGTGATTTGTGTTGTTTCAGGATTTGTTACAGCTTCGATCTGGCGACTAAATAAATGTATTTCTTTGCTCTGTCTCAGTTCCAGAGTTGGAGGACGACGATGCTGCATTTGATGGTGAGAACAACAGCGAGTGTTTTAGAAACAACACATTTTTAAAACCACACTTATCGTTGCTGAAAAAGTCAATTTGTTCATCCTGTTAATTTTAAACATTAAGAAGTGAATGAATGAAGTAATAAAACATCAGAATCGAAATGTGAAATGTTCTTTTCTCTGCAGATTCAGACGAAGAGATGGAGACTCCTCCCACCAAGAAGAATAAGAGGAAATCCTCCGAGGAGCTCGACTTCTCTGCATCTTTAGGTCTGTGCCGAGTTGAATTAACGTTTAAAATAAATATATTCTCACATCAGATTGTTTTTAAAAAATATTAATTGTGGTTTCTTGTCTCAGGCTCTAAACCGGGGAAGAGGAGGAAAGGAAAGAAAGACACGGCCATGTTTGCTTCTGCTGAAGAGGTGAGATGAGTCTTTAGTTGTAATAATAATACTTTTATTATATTAGCCAACGAATTGATTCAGCTGAATCTTGTTCAACATCTCGGACTCATAACTCACGCAGCTTTTTTATTTTCTTCAAGGAAAGTTGGTTTTAGAGATGAAACCATTTGTACGATGTGAAACTTGATTTTTAATTCTTGCTGTTCTTCAGTTTGGTTCCCTGCTGGACGAGAACGCCGGCTCCAAGTTTGACAACATCGGGCTGAACGCCATGGCCAACACGGACAAAGCAGGTGAGACAACAAACTCCTGAGTTCACTGAGAAACATGTTTGTGTAAATACATAATAAATAGTTTAGAGAAAGTATTTATCTTCACTTTGACCTTTTTATTTTCACCTGTTCTCATGAACCTACTTAAATTCTGTCTGTGGACGAACACGCTGCAGAGAAAGTTCAAACTATTGTTGTTGCAGCTCCGGTGAATTAAAGTCTCGTTGTCATAAACATGTTGGACAAAAGACACAAGTCAGGATTGTCTCCAGTTTGCTGGACACCAGCTGAGTTTAAAAACTTCTCCACAGAGAAAATCAACCACGTCCCGTCAAACATGTTAAATCAATGTTTACAAGACAGAAGTCGTGTTGACGTCTTTTCTGACACTCGATCTCTGCAGGTGTGAAGCAGTTGAAGTGGGAGGCTCAGCGCGACGACTGGATCCACGGACGTGACGCCAAGACGCTTCGTAAGAAGAAGACCGTGTTCAACAAGAAGAAGACGACGTTCGGCCGAGCCAGGACGGGAGGCAGGACGTTCGGGAACAAGAAGAGGAAGAAGTAACGGACTGTAAATGTGGACTTCGTAGAGACGGACGGCTTCAGTCCTGCTTGGTCGACCAGGCTTCGTGGTCTCTCTCTCGGATCCCGTTCACCCCCGCCCACTCGTTGGACTGGTAGTACACTGAGAGGAAACAGGAGCAGAGACTGGTCTTCAAACGTCAGCTTCACATGTTTGACTTTTCTCTCACTAACGAGATCAAATCTACACGATGTGAGTTAATGGGACGTTACTTCCTAATCATTGTGTATTTACAGTTTATTAAAAATCTAAGAGCTTTTCTTCTATTTTATCTTTATAACCTTCAGAGTTAAATGTTCTGTGTCGGAGGTGCGGGGCAGAGACGAGCTGCTCACCTTCTAGAATCGATGGAAACCTTCTGTTCACGGTGTTTCTGAAATCTGTGGGAAAACATAACGAGACATTTTGAGTCAATTACGTCACTGAATGTTCTAAAATAAAATATTGTTGTGTAAAGAAACTGTAAGAAACAGAACGAACTAAATATTAAAGTGGTTTTATGAATTTTGGACATTTCACGGAGGTAAATGAATCATTTAAGACTGTGCAGTTGTTCATGGATAATATCTGAGCTGTAACTTAAAACCACAGGATGTGACATCACTGAGTTCAACATGGAGGAAGTTCATCTGAATTAAACATGAAGTAATAATCACCTCTGCTGTTGTTCATCATGTGAAACAAACCATAAGCTCCACAGAGTCCCAGCAGCTCCACTGCCACCAGGGCCTTCAGCAGCCTGCTGGTCCGAGGGGGAGGGGCCATCTGAGCACACACATGTTAACACACACATGTTTGATATAAAACACACACATGTTAACACACACATGTTAACACACACATGTTAACACACACACGTTAACACACACACATTAACACACACACATCTGAACCTGTTCAGTCAATGATCTGAACTCACCTTCAGCTCAGTGATCAACACAAAGTCACGTGTCCCCTCTGCCCTCGTGTTGCACTACTGAAGCTAACTGAAGCTAACTGAAGCTAACTGCTAAGATAGACTGACAGCTAATGGAGCTTGCGGCTAAAAGAGGCTAACAGAAGCTAACGGCTGAGATCAACCACCCGGCGAACACAAACGATATCTACGAGGCGAAGCTAACAGAAGCTAACGGCTAACAGAAGCTCACGGCCGCACGAAGCTAACGACCTATGCTAACAGCTAATGTGAGCTAACAACAAACCTCGTAGGTACGGAAGCCCGTTTGGTTCAAATCGTCGGCGAACGAATTGACGTATAACGATGATAATAATCGTGAATCATAAATCTACAAGATGTTTAAAAATCAATGAATTCAAACATTTCAGATTCATAATTGAACTAAATATCTGAAGACAAATATATTTAGTCAGCTAATAATAAAT